TGGTTTGGCTCAGTAATAGAAAGGGTCCTGGGTTTGATTCCAGTCAAGGGCATGTACCTTGCTTGCAGGCCCATCCCCAATAGGGGTGTGCAGGAGGCAGCTGATCGATGTTTCTCTCTCATTGATGTTTCTAACTCTCTATCCCTCTCCCTTCCTCTCTGTAAAAAATCAATAAAAAATATAAAAAAAAAAACCCAACATGGAACACACTGATGAATCTCAGAGTGAAGGGGGAGAGGGGAAGAAATTAACCAAAGGTCTTATATGCATACTAGAGGCGGGGGGGGTGTGTGTGTGTGTGTGTGTGTGTGTGTGTGTGTGTGTGTGTGTGTATAAAAGCAGAACAACCCAGACTTCTCAGTCACAGTCCAGACCCACCCAACTGTGGCCACAGTTCAGATGAATGGGCCCTTCTGCTCAGCTTGTCCGTCCCCACCCCCTTCCCGCCAGCTCTGAGCTATAACCCACCAGACTACTCACCTCCCTAGCACTGACCCGCATGGCAACCCTCCATATTTGTTCATGCTGTTCCCTCTGCCTGGATGCCATGCCTGCTGCCTGTCGGTGGAATTCCTCCTTTCCCTTCAGGGGGCTTCAAAGGCCACCTCCTTTCCAAAGCCTTCCCTCACCCCTCCCACCCCCCACAGAAATATTAAGGAATACAACTCTACCAGCGCATTTGTCTCTGTCCTTGAGACCAGAGCTGGAGTCTTGTTCGTGTGCGTCCCTCTCACACCTCGCCTGGTGCCCAGAGCATGGCTAGGGCTCTGCCCTCGGCTGCTCTGATAAACGGAACCACCAAGTTATTGAAGGTGTTGCTTTGGGATTCGCTGCTCACGGCTCAGCCCCAGGCTCCATCTCCTCCTCTCTGTGCTTAGGAGCCAAAAATGATCTCAGCAAAATCTTAGGCAAACGGTACATCTGGATGGAATGCTGGCCTGTTGAGCCACCCCCGGCAAACAAGACTGGCATTGTGGGCTGAAACTATCACTGGGTGAAGGCATCCAGCGCCATCTTTTAATGAGCCTCAGAGAAAGTCTATGTAGTAACTTGGCTGGGACATCAGGCCTAGGACTCGTGGCTGCAGCTGCGTTAGGAATGAAGTTCTGCGGTTGAAGTGAATGACTGCAGGACTGTCCACAGAGGAGCCTGGAGACCCACCTGCCTAGATGGTGGCTCCAGGAAGGAAGGGACAGCTGATCCCTCCTCTGTGCCATCCACCCATTTATCCACGCATCCATCTGACTGACATTTACTGAGTGTCTGTTATGGGTCAGGTACCGTGCCAGGTGCTAGGATTTCAAGGTGCAAGCACTGTCCCTGCTCCCGGACCTTTCTGCTTGCTGTTGGGTAAAGCAGATGTTATCCAAGTGAATGAACAAATAAATACTTTACGTAACGACAAATTGCTGTACCTGCCATGAAGAAGGGAACCTCGAAGACTGCCAAATTCAACAGCTGGAAGGAAGCCAGGATGCCCAGATCAGAGTGAAGGGAGGGGGAGGAGTCAGAAGAGGCTGGGCCCCTCCACAGCGGCTTTGGGACCAACATGAGGAAGCTGGCTTTTATTCAAGGCACAAGAGAAAGGCCCCGTGCAAGGTTTTCAGGAAGGGAGCAGCATGCGTGGATTCCGCCTCTATAGCATTCCTCTCTGAAGGACACCAGGAGGGGTTCTTTAATCAGATAAATCTAGACTGTGGCACATTCGACAAAGAAAACTGGCCTGGACTCTTCAAACAGTCAATATGAGGGAGGGAGGAAAATAATGACCAAATGTAATGAATAAACTTTTGGTTTAAAAGTAGCAGCTAGCACCCGACCATGTGGCTCAGTGGTTGAGCCATGACCTATGAACCAGGAGGTCACAGTTCAGTTTGATTCCAGATCAGGGCACATACCTGGGTTGTGGGCTTGATCCCCGGTGGGAGGCATTCAGGAGGCAGCCGATCAATGATTCTCTCTCATCACTGATGTTTCCTCTCCCTCTCCCTTCCTCTCTGAGATATATATATATATATATATATATATATTCCTTATAGCTGAAAGTTCCATGAAGTAGGCAGCCCTTCCCATAGGGGTCAAGGAGGACACCACGAGGGCAAGCCCTAGTTTGAGACTCTGCGAAGCATAGAAAGAAAACTTGGAAGTTTCCTTCCTGCTTCTGAGAAGTGGAAACAGCTGAGCAGGTGAGAGTGGGTTGAGGAGGCGGCTCTGTCCTGTGGCCCTGGGGATAGGGAGGGAGCGGATTAAGGACTGTTTGCCAAGCGTGCTTGGCGATGAAGGGAGGGGTTCCTTGCATCCCTCAACCTGTCTGCCCTCAGGCGGGAAGGCCACTCACCTGGAGGGGCCCCTCCTGCCCCGCGCCTTCCCAGGCAACCCGGGCCTCGGTGCTGGGCCCCAAAACAATGTTCTGTGATCAGAGCCGAGGCCGCTGCTCCCTCGCACCCAGGAGCTCGTTTTAGTACAAAAGGAGAGGGAGCAACGAGAGCTGCAGTTTCTCCAAGTGTCGGCCTGAGCAGAAAGGAGAGTCTCATTACCCAAGCCCGATTCAAAGGGTAATTAACAGATGGTATAATTTCCGAGCATTCTCCGCACCACATGGCTATTAGGGGAAGAGCAAAATGCCCACGCAGCCCCTAGATCCTCCCAAACCACACAGTCAGAGGAAGTCCCAGGAGGCAGAGCCACCTCCCTGTCTCGGGAGCTGCCCTTGGCCTTGACTAGAAGGAAAAAGTTCACCTTGGTTAAAGGGGAGGAGATTCCTCCACCACCTTCCCCGCATCCCTCACCATTACCAGGAATGCAGCCTAACCCTCTCCCTGTCTCCGGGCCCATCTCCTTTCCTTCCCCCTGGGGAGAAAGAGAAAAGCTGATTTCTCATTCTTGGCATCACTGTGGGGGCCACACGGAAGTCCCTTTAGCGAGGGGGGGGGGGCTGTGAGGGGATTCCTGGCTCCTCTTTTGTGATCAGAGTACATTGGCAGCTGGTCCCATGCTTTTTTCAAACTGGGCTCTTCCAGACCCTCCGATGCCACTTGGTGGCCGAGGGCTTTCTTGGTCGGGGGAGCAGGGGAGTTGGGGCAAGTCCCTGACCCCCTCTCCCGCCCCGGCGACACTACCTTAACTAGTTTCATATTTGGAGCTTCTACTTCATATCTTATTTGGGTAAAAAATAAATAAATAAAGGATGCTACAGCTAAATAAACGCTTGAAAACCATTGACCTTATCCAAACCCCTCTATTTAGAAAAGGGAAGTTCAGGCACAGGAATTGGACCAAGGTTGCACAGCTAGCAGGTGGGGGGCCGACTAAAGCTCTGGCCTCCTCCCCAAGCCAGCTCAACCACCACCAGGCCCCTGCTGCTCACCCAGGTGGCCCTGCAGTCCCTGGATGGTGGCCCTGGTTGGGGTAGGAGAGAGGGGATTCCCTTCCAGAGCACCCTTGCCTCCTCTTCTTCATGGTCAGCGTCCACGCCAGAACTCCTGAAATCCCCTCACCCCTTTCAAGTGGACGGTCCAGGCCATGGGTGAGCAGGTGAAGAGGCCCAGGAGCCCTGTGCACTGGGCAGGGCTGTGTGCTGGTCACGAAGCTGTGGGTAGGAGGAGGGGAGTGACAGCTGGACATTGATGGTGAAGGAAGGAGGAGCAAGAGGTCATCTCTCCAGACAGAAGCCGGCTGGGAAGTGGAAAGCCTTGGTCCAGGCCCCAGGAAGCGCGTGTTAAAGCCTGGCTCCGCCCTTAGCCAGCCTTGGGACCCTGCACAAGTCTCTCCCTCTCTGGGCTTCAGAAGTGGCGATCTCAGCGTGTTTATACCAGCTGGCTTCTGCCCCACGACACTCCCAGCTCACCTCCCTGTGAAAAGCCCAGGTGGTGTCCAAACCACAAAGACATTCCGCCCAGCAGTGGGATCCCAAGGGACAGCCTGGTGAGGTCACAGCTTGATGAGGGAGGGGCTCAGGGCCCTGGGGTGTCTCTGGGAAATGGGGGAGGCTTTGTACTGTTGAGAAAGGCCATTTTAGCTGAGACCTGTGGGAGGGGACAGTATGGAGGGCTCTGAGCAGCCAGCAGCAGCCAGCAGTTATAGGTGGTGTGCGGTGGGCACTTGGCTTCTGAGAGTCCTTCAGAATGTTTGGAAAACCTAAGCATCTTAGGGTAGCGCTGTTATTATTACTCGCTCTCTGGCTTCTGATTGTTGATTCCTCTTTAGGCGGTGGGAGGGATCTGGGATGGGGGTGG